CAGTGCAACGTCGATTCAGTGAAAATCCTCGACCCGATCAAAACAGGCCAGAGAATTTTTCGAGGCACTCCTCAATCAAGCACTACCCCTAATTTTCCGACGGTCAATCGATCTTATTATATGTTGCAATAAAACATCAAAAACGTCGAAGACTGTTTCCTACTCGGAAGTCTATGGTTTGTCAATCGCATTAGTAGTCGACCAAATCATCACTTCTGTTGTAGAGCAGGACTTGTTCGGGACCTAAAGTGAAAACAAATGTTATGGCTCAAAACCTCACCATATCCTAACTTTAATGGTTGTATGTTAGGCTAGATACAATGTGGATGTTGTTGTTGTTGTTGTTGTTGTTGTTGTTGTTGTTGTTGTTGTTGTTGTTGGAAAGGCCATCAATGCGACTACGGGAGCTAGCGCTTTGCCGAAGTGATACCGTTGATTGCCCCAGGTATAGATAGCTCCCAAACGCTTGCAAGTATCAATTCCAACTGGCACAGCCCTCCAACACCAAGTAACCTGTGTTAGATTAATCGGATTATACGATCAAGAGATGGGAATGGTTGCCTAAGTCTGAGCAGAATGGAAAGAGTTTGGATTCAGTTAGGGGAGTAAGGTTAGTTGAAAGTATCACACGAAGAATCGGTGAAGTTATTTCATCAAATAATGTAGATAATGACACTTTTGAATAAGAAATACATGACACGATTCAATCATAAAAAGCACGTTGTTTAAAACAATTTTGTTCTGCATTTATTTTCAATTCAAAGTGTAGGTTGAATCAAATTGATTCGACAAATACTGCGGACCAATCGTGCAGCATAGTGAGGGAGAGGGGCGGTTGGACTTAAGCGTAGACTGTTATTCCTCGGCCCTATCCATCAACTTCATTAAAACAAATTGAACTCCACGTCGGAGCTTCACAACCGATTTTACTTGCATGTGAAATGGGGTGAACGAATCGGATGTAGAATTAACAAAAATCGACGCCCGACCTTAATTGTGCATGGGAGCTATAACAGTCCGACTGACAGTCCTGTCATTCGAGCTCCATCCTTCAACTCTGTCCCTGTGATAGTATCTTGACTGGCTCGAACTGTCCGGAAAACGCCGTTACTGATGTATCACGATGATGATGATGGACGGCTGATTGTTTCCAAACAGCGAGAAAGAACCCTTGCGCGCGCATACACACACACAACAACAACATTGTGTGTACGGATAGATTCACACGCCTCCAATCACATGTCTAACAAAACTACATTACATTATATGATTGTTTACATAATGCTGTGCCATCCGTGCACATCGATCATAATTGAGAGATGCTTGGAGGGTGTGTTCGAATCACGTTGCACACACACACACACGGATATCTCTTTAAAAGGGACCGCACTGATAACCACGCCCTTCGACAGAATCCATTTGGCTGCCCTGCCGATTTC